AATTTCATGTCATTAGCACCTCTAGTAATATATTTACTGAAAAAAATGTTGATGTGTTAATACTTTTTTTACCCGCTATATCTTCATACAGTATATACAGTATGTTGTACTGTATATGTTCATGTTTCAGCTCCAGGACTTTATTAACTTGTATATTGCAATAGAATTTGAACCACTGTTTAAAACATCAACTCTAAAACATACTGGGTCTGGTGGGCTAGGGTTTTGACTCAGCCCGGAAACTTGCTGCCAAAGGTGACAATCACAGAACAGCAACAAACACAAAGCACAAATGACCCACGAGGCCTCAGTCTGACGCCATGTAGTTTTGACCCAGGAGCAGCAGGAAGTCACCAAGAAACCTCTGACAAATGCATCATACTGCCATTTCCAAAATCATCAATACAGTAAAGAATAAATCCGTTAAATTTCATGTGTGGAAAGAAAATCTAGAAGTGCTTGTTAATGTCTGTATTCTTCACAGTGAGAACAGCTGTAATGTCTTTTTGTTCGTGATCCAGCAACCTTCTTGCTTGGAGGCAACAGCTCTACTGATGAGTCACCATGCAACAAATGAAGAGCAAATGAAGTTAATTTATCTTTGGCTATCAGCATCTCAATTTTTTTAAACACTTAAACTTAGATAATCCTGTTTGACATGTCTACAGCTCATTTTGACTTGTATAATCTTGCCAAAATTTAAATTGGTCTGGTACTTTGGGTAATGAACCACACTTTATGCAAAATAAATAAATACATTATGCCAGAAGGATGCTAATGATGGTACATGTCATTAAGCAGATGTTGTTTGCAGATCCCTGGCTCGAAAATGGATCCTCGTGCTGTTTCTGGGCACCTGCCTCCTCTACTGTGCCCGGATGACCATGCCAGTCTGTGCCGTTTCGATGGCCGCCTCCTTCCACTGGAGTAAGATTGATGCCGGCCTCGTCCTGGGCGGATTCTTCTGGGGCTACTGTTTCACTCAGGTCCTGGGAGGACATGCCAGTGACAAGTAAGTGATTCATCCTCTAGAGCACACATGACTTTACTTCAACAAGGAGCCGATGTCTGTTTATTTCTGTAGCACAGAAAAGCAAAGTAGACCAATTTGATTTAAAGTTCAGTCAAAAAGCTTAAAAGAAATACAAGAAATATTAAAAAGATAAGGAACATCAAATCAAATRGAGGAACTCAAAATAAAAGTCATCACCTAACTGGATCTCAAACTCTTAATATAGAYTTAAAAGTCTCAACACTCTCAATGGTCGGTCAGCAAATGCAAAAACTTGATCACCATTATTTTAAAGTGGATGTTGGAATGTGTATGAAAAGAACTGGTTGGTTGATCTGAATGCTCTTGACTAGATGTTAGGAAGATCAGMTAAGGATGATGGGCCAGACCTTTTAAAACTTTCAAATCGAGCGGAAAATTATTAAAATCAGTCTTGAAACCAAACAGGAAGCCAGTAAAGAGAAACCAGGACTGGGATGGTATGTTGTTTTAGTTGGAAAATGAGCTGCTGTGTTCTGAGAGGTGGTTTGTAATGCAGAAATGATTAATTTAAACCAACCTACAAAGTGTTACAACAGTCCAACTGAGACAATTTAGATTTAACAACTGCAATAACCTATTTTTCTGGATTAAAGCCACTTTAAATATAACATTTAGATTCCTGACAGCAGAGTGACCATATGAAGTCAAGAGAGTCAAAGCTACATTTACCAAAAGTGTTGGCTTTAGTCTTGTTTCTACCGAGATTCAGAAAGTTCAATTTTAAGCAGATTTTTAGCAAAATATCAGTGAATCAACATTGAAATATGGTCAGGCATGATACTGAATACAAGTTAAAATTATACAGAAAGTGGTCGGTGACTTGTTGAATGTTAGGTTTTCAACCATAACTGATACTATATGAGTGTTGAYTCAACATTGATTAGAAGTTAGCATTTCAATCATTAGAATTGAACAATGAAACAAAATTGATTCAACAACATCTTTTCAGCATTGATTATTTGGCTAGAATTGGATGATTGTTTGATGTTTGATTCACCATCAGTCGTCAACCTTAACCAAAAATAAACTTTTTGACTATAATTCAACATTAACATAACATCTTTTGTTATCTGGGATTTAGAAAGCTGTGATTGAAGTGGACTAATACTGTCGAGCTAAATGGAAAGATAAACCTGGATTTCATCAGCAAAGCAGTGGAAAGTGATGTTACGTTTAAAAAATGGACCTCAGCAACAACAAACGCAGAATAAAAAGCAGTGTAACTAAAACAGGCTCTTGAGGGACCCCACCAGTCAGAGGAGCATCAGACAAGGAACATTCCCCTGAATGAACATAAAGGCTCTGGTCCATCAGATCTAAACCAGGATAAAACCATACCTTTGGTTCCAACCACTTGCTCAAGTCTTGACAACTAAATATTATGGTCCACAGCATCAAAGGTAGCAGAAATGTCTAAAAGCACTACAACAGCAGAGCTTCACGAATCAMCCAGAAGATCTTTATAAACATCTTTGCAGGGCCTTCTCTGTGCCGAGGATTTATTTAAAACCTGACTTGATTTTCTTCTTCAATGTTGGCAGTTAAAATTTAGGTTTAGGATTTCAGGGTTTCCTCCTGTTAATATTTGTTGCTTCTCAGACTGGGAGGAGAGCGTGTCCTGCTCATCTCTGCAGCTTCATGGGCTCTGATCACAGCTGCTACTCCTCTCCTGGCTCATCTGGGCTCCCACACCCTCGCTCTCATGACGGTGGCCAGAATCCTGATGGGAGTCCTCCAGGGTCAGTGTTGCCTCACTGTGAACTTTAAAGGGAACCATGATTAGTTGTAACATCAAACTTTATTTGATAAACATTTATTTTAACTGTAAAATAAAGACTGTATAAATAATGTAGGCTGTTTAGTTTTGTAAATTTTTTAAAATATATTTTAACACAGATGGAGCCATTTTATTTACACGCAAAGCATTCTGGGTAAATGATGACATCAACT